AGTTTCCCGCCAACACTCGTTCCATCCTTTGCTTGTTCACCTTTCCGAAACCATGTTTTGCAGCGAACTTATGACAGTACCATGCTGCTCCTTTAAAAAATCGAGAACAACATACCTTTGATGAAAGTAGTCTTCTATAATCCTACGCAGATCGCTTTCGTCCATAGCCAAAAGCGAGTTCCAGTTCATGCTGTTTTGGCGGGAAACTAAGAACTATTACCCAGTCTTCCTTGGCGTTGCTGCAGTATATTTGCAGTATATTCTTTGCGTTCTGATTTTTTTATTTGCTGCAGTATATTTTTATTTGCTGCAGTATATTTTTATTTGCTGCAGTATATTTTTTATTTGCTGCAGTATATTTTTTGTTTGCGTTGAGCCTTCTGGGCCACCGTAGAAAATTGTTCTTATAATATATAAAAACTCTTCCCTTTTCAGTTTAATCCTTGGGTTTCACCCACGTGAAAAACAAACAGAGTCTGTAGCTTTACTGTGGTATTGCACTAAGATCTCTGTATAAATGCTAGTAATTTTTTTAGAAGTAAAAAATTAAGAACACTCGAGAACACTTTCAGGCTGATTTCACCTAAAATACCTGATATATAAGAACCCAATCAGCCTGAACCCCGAATATGGGTGTTCTTGTATGCGGGTTTTTACTGTATTATGCGGTTCTTTATTTAGCTTCATCACGTTGTGTGTAATTCATTAATAAACATAATGTTACTTACTTTTCTTAATCGTTACACTGATTGGTTACTCTCTCATGAAATTAAATTCGTGAGTGTTAAAGTGTAGCTTACATAACTTAACATGGCTATGAAACCCAATGATATTCTTGCATTGAAATTATTCATCGTGTTAAAAGAGTCATAAATTTACATCAACTTGGTCCTTCGATCAGATTTTTGCTCTCCGGCGAACTGGGATAATTTTTCACTGAATTATTTTATTGCGGGAAATATAGTCCGTCGGAATACCCCATTCTTGTCATCCTTTGATCTGCCTACTGAATGCCGAAACTGACTAAAATTAACTTAATAAAAGACACATTCCCATAGGGGATTACCCGAGAAAAAAAAAGATCACTTTTTCACTCTAGCAAGCACGTCAGTAACGCCTCTAAACAAAGAAATGTTTGAAGTTCATTTTTCATCGAAAATTGAGAATCGTGTGTGAAAATGGGCGTGCTGACGGTTTGCCATTCTTTGGAGAGCAGAACAACAATGGCCTTTCGAAGACATCAAAAAAGCTGTAAGTACCGGCAAAACATCTGAATGATCTCACACGGAAAGCGATAGATGCCTTAGTTTAGAGCACGGAAAATGACGCTGGAGGATGTTTGAACCCGATAACCTGAACCACTTCAATTAAACTGATCTAAAAACACAGCAAAGACACCAAGGCCAATTAAACAAGAAAAGCATTCAGCTGTTAATGGGGAACTCACATGAAAGATCAGTCCTTATCGCTATAGTTGGTTTCTTTTCTTTGATATTCGCTATAATTCTGCTTTGCTTTTGCCTTTTCACTTTGTACAATTGTTTTTATGGAAAAAGGACGAGAAAACGGATGAGAAAACGCTCAGAAAGGAAGGATTCAGAGCACACCCAAAGTTCACTTATTGAAATCAACGGCCAGCTGATGATGAGTTGATTCACTCCATTCAGTGGGTCTATGAAGAACTCCTTCATTTCAGGCATGAAACCAGAACCACTGAAACAATTGGACTTTAACTTGAACGGGTGAATTAATATTAGCAAAAACACTACATACGGACAGTATGCGCTGAAAAGCAAACTAGAAAACCTAAAAAATGTAAACATCAGAGTTTACACTGTTCTCATTTTAATCATATTGCCGAATGAACTGACTGATACATACGTAACACGGAGTTGCTTTACTCGGACTCACATTGAACTAACCTCGAGTAATTTATCCAGTAAAACTACTGTTGGAAAAGGAGGTCACTTGTTTTTTCAATATGTTAAACCCCTACAGAAAGTAGCTCGATCCCAGACCTCTCTACTCATATGGTTGAGTATAGAGACCCCTGGGAACGATACTGTCAACCCTAAGGTATTTCAATTTAAATTCAGTTTCGTTTTGAGCATGCACGACTCTAGTTCAAATTAAGTGTTTCCACATAATCGCCGGTGAATGGCGTCTAATGCATCAATCCTTTTTCTGGTATTATGTGGAGTTTTTTTGCTGATTTTCCTTTCGTCTCTCATCTTCCTGCTTTACTTATGTTTCCGGCGAGTATGTATCGCTAAAATCCGCTTTGAAATCGTTGACGTGGAGGGAAGGAATGAAAATAATCAAGTTAATAACCACCACTCGGGGCATACGAACGAAACAAGTACAGATGCACGTGTCATGAAGAATGATTGTTACAGTACTCATAGTTCAGCTATGTTGGAATCTAAAACAGCGTTAAATAAGGAACACGTACAGTTCACAATTCTTTAGCGAAAACTTTTTTCTTCTGCTTATTACGATTGATATCCAGGGCTTGTGGAGTACAACGAGAAGTCGAGGAGAGCAGCTGGCGGTGATGTATTGTTATTAGGGACAATGTTTACAGCCATGCATGAATGTGACGTTATTTGAGGAGATACTCGGAAAAGAGGAGGCGCTAACAAGAAATACTCACAGATAACATCAATATACAGCAAGTGATGTTATTATAGGTAAACATTTTTATCATCTCAGAATAACACACAGAAGCACGTTCACTGATGTGAAATAAGACACTGGATGAAGCTCAGGGAATATTACAAACGTCTCGAGAGGAAAAATATTTTTCTTTCAGCAGAAGATTATGAGGCAGCTGAGTTGGTTAATAGTTGAAAAAAGGGATTAACACTTCATTTATATAAAAATCAAATAATCAGACCTCAGAAACACTGCTTTTCAATTTCTAGCTTTGTACTGCTTAATTAAAAAAAGTAAACCTGTCACAATATCTCAACTTTTTTTTCCCTTGCGTTTCAAACACGCTAACACTTGACTGGTCGGTAATCTCAGTTTCTAGAAATTATCCGCTATTCGTTCTTCCACTGACGTAAGACAAAGCGGAATAAGTCTGAGCATCCTATACGGAAATGAATCTCGAATTTTGCATTCGCCGGATAATCTACTACTAAGTAAGTATATACATGATCTCGCTCACTGTGGAGTCCACACTAGCTCCGACCGGCATTGGTAGAGTCATGATAACACTGACATGTCTGTTGGTCTCGGGTTTGATTCCTGATAGGGAAGTTGGACTTCATTATTTGTCCCACAGTCGTAACGATAGGAATGATACCATAGTCATTCGACGATAAAGCTCCAAATTTACTATCTTTCCATAAAATTCAAATAGGTTTTTTTTATCTTTACATAAGATACCCTCACTATTAAGAATCAGAAATTAAGAAAAAATGGATTTCACGTATGTAAATCTAATTTTGCACCACGGATGACTGATACAATTAAGTCCTGTAATTGGTCCAAGGAGGCAATCTCTTATTTTTTTTCGTCCACTTCTGACTTGTCTTTATCATATGATTATGCGTCCTTTCTTAATTCACTTTTATTCGTTGTCGTGTGCGGCTTGTCATGGAATTGCATCTCGCTACTGAGATATTTTTCATTAAACTTCAACAATTCGAAATATTTTTGTCCTACAAGAAACATTTTGGAAAGCAGAAATTAAACGTATATATATATATATATAGGGGTAATAAAATCTGCAGCTTCCAGCTAATTTGTAATATTTTTGTACAGACTCAATTTGGAACTAGATACATTTAATTTGTCTAAAAGAGCCCGACTGATTAAAAAAAATATTGCCTCTTCGACGCTTTGAGAGATAATTTAATCAGAAAGAAACAAACTACCGATCAATTAAAACTGAGGGTTTTCTCACTTAGGTTAAACTACAAGATGGCGGACAAACATAGCACTACATAAGAAAAATATCTTACACGAAATTTGGGGCCTAAGGAGAAAAAGCAACTTAGCTCAACAAAATAACCTGTATCAGACTAAAAAGTTTAAGGGGCAATTGATTTACAGACGACCTCAGTTAGTTTGATCATAAGATCTTTATTAAAAAATACTTCTAAATAATGGTTTACTTTCCCTTTTTATAGAGTATCAGTACGTTTTGTCTTGAACATTTTAAGCGATGAAGAACGCTATTGAGGCGCTATAGAGCGAGCAGATCAGTCTTACCACTTGTCTTGACAAGTTGCATAAAAATTGCCAGTGAAAACTTCCGTGAAAAGTGAAGATGTATAATAATGTGCTCGTTGCAGCAAGGGTTACAAAAGCGACTCGTAGTTTCCACGAGTGGCAATGTTGCAACAGTGTTTGAGACGTTATAGAAGTGAGAAGGTAAGTGCTGTGCGCGTCAAATATGGCGCGCTGTAGACAGGGTACTTAAGCTCATTTTCAACTCTCTAAATAATATTTCATCTTGAAGAACTTTAAAAGTTTTTTTTTTTTTTTTCAGGTTCAGAAAATTGCAAATTCTTCCCTTAACAACCACATAGGTTTCCATATATAATGGTAAATATGTTATTTACGATATTAAAGAGCACTGTACCAAAGTTAAGCTACATGACTATGATGATAACAAATACCATAGGCTATATTATATAATTGGCTTAATCTTGTGCACTGAGAATGTCGTAATAACTCACAAAATGGAAGACAATAAAAGTTGCCCCGCAATCTGGTTCATTCATTTCCATTCCCTAGACAACCGTACATTGTGTTTATGATGTCAGTAGTCTTCCCAACTCAGCAAATTCCTTGTAGTTCTGGATGACATACACTCTAGTCTCCCACAACATTTCCATTCCCTTGACAACCGTACATTGTGTTTATGATGTCAGTAGTCTTCCCAACTCAGCAAATTCTTTGTAGTTCTGGATGACATACACTCTAGTCTCCCACAACATTTTCACCAAAATGCGGTCGTCAGTCTCGTCCAGCCCAACATCAGATGACATCGGAGAACTGAACCTAAAGTAAGGAACGCCAAGCATCTGGCACCAGGCCCTCGCACGTTCAACAACCGGCCCATGAGTAGCAGTAGCCTAGAAACAATGCGCACGTCGGATATTAGCGTCCAGTGCCTCTAACGGCCAGAATAATTAACTCTGGGAGGGAATTGATACCAACAGCATCACCCAGGTCTCACCCAAAACTCCAAACCTTGTGCAATGGAAAACGTGGAGAACAAAATACAGATAATGCCTAGACACTTGAAATTCATTTTTGAATGATGCATTGCTTTCGCTAGTTACAGCTCATTAGCTCCAGTCTATGGGCATGTTGATACAGCTTCTGTAATTACCTGATCAACCAGCAACTCTCCTAAAGCGCGGGCTCCCATGAGGACATTGGTTGCGTCCCAGATGGATTCTGGTTTGAATACATCAAATGACTGGACATGCATTGGTGGCGGGACACCTGTCCCGAGGGACACGACAAGTCCAAACGAGCAACTGCTGTCGCCTCGCACCAAACGATTGTGTTTATGAACTTCAGTAAGAGCGTCTAGGGTTGGATTGTTAGCAATCATTCCACCATCCAAAAACGGACCCATAGCACGGAAAAATGACGGAGCAGCACCAGTCCCCCTCGCTGCTCGCCACACTAACTGGTCTATGTGAGAGTAAATCATTAAAACTCGCACTATGGTGCTTTTTCAGTGGGATTTAAGAAACGAAAAGTTTTATAGCTTTACAAAGGTTATGTCGACCTTTTACATTAAAAGACAACAAAACTCATCATATGAGTACCCAACAGACTTTTATTTTGCGCTTGATTGACAATGTGTTGCCAATGCACACATTACTGACACAAAACATTGAGCACTGACTGCCACCTTACCTGAGGGTTTTGGTGGCGATGAAAACGGCGACATTGATTGAGCAGCATCCCAGTCTTCATCAGGTACGTCAAAGTTGCGGAAGAAGTGCAAACTGGCAGGTCTGCGATCCGCCAAAACTCCTGTTACCAGCACTCTGTAGGAGAAACACTTTGTAAGCTAAGAATGTTGTTACAGTTCTACTTAAGGAAATTCCACAGAGATGTACACTGACTGGGAGTATGTAAGGAATTCGCATCAGGAACAGTTAAGTACTGGGTTACCACGGTACACAGTTTAAAATGTGTCCACAATGATAAACGAGTGAGTGAATGTTTACATTTAAGATAATTCAAAGGGTCACTTTTCCACTAGTACAGCAATGTTTCCCGATACCTTGGGTGAAGTACTGACGTCATCTTGGCGCTTTCTCCAAATTCCTGTTTGAGAAATTTCTCAAGTGGTTCTGAGTCATAAGGCCGAGGACCATTGAAAACCAAGTCTTTCATTCTGAAATACAGACCCTGACAATATCGCGCAGACTTGCCTGAAAATTACAGCAGATAATGCAAATAATTTAAGAAAGTGGTGTAGGAAGCACTCCTAGTTGGACCTATCAGAATCCAGTAATTGACGTCATCCACCCTTTAAGCTTTAAGTGGTTTGTTCTAAGGAATCTTCTGTCTATAAATGCGTAGTGTTGGTTGAACAAATATGTAACGATAGCTTTCTTAGAACAAACCCCTTAAAGCTGAAAGGGTGAATGACATAATTACTGGATTCTGATAGGTCTAAATAGTAATTAAACAACGTTAATATAGCTGAGAAATCAACCAGGAAACAGATATAAAAGCTTGACACTGGGGTCATGATCATGCTAGCAACTCCATTCACGACACTGGTTTGATTCAGTGCAAGTTGATCATGATCAACTTGACAGCCTTCAGCATAGCTGACAGTCTTCAGCCTTCAGCGTCAACCGTTATGTAAATGCGCCGCACATGGCTGCACTCTTATCTCTCTGTAGTTAACTTAGCTTGCATCCTTTCCCTTGCCAATCAAACAGATGGCTCTTAGTCGCTTAGTAAGACTTCCTAATGGACTGTCTAAGACCTTCTGGCCACGATACCGCGGTAAAAGAGCACGACGTCTCGTCAAAGATAGAGGAAACGATCGTTACCATCTGATCAGTGTTGCTCGACCACGGGATCCTAACCGTGTTGCTACATTAACAAGACTTCACCGTTCCCGAAACCCAGCGAACTTGATATCAGTCACCATATCCGCCGCAAGCCCAAAAGGAGGTTTGTCGTCGACCTAAGTTCCATCTTTTTTGGTCTCAAATGTTATGTCCTTGGCTCCTAAGATCGATGAATTACGCCATGTTGTTCAAAATGCAAATTTGGATTGTATTTGCATCACAGAATCCTGGCTTCGGAGTTCTATTCATGACAACGTGGTTACTTTAGAGGGGTTTAATATTATTCGCAGGGACAGAGTCGAATCTGAACACGGCGGTGTTTGTATGTACATCAAGGATACGATCAATTTCACTGTTCTGGCTGAGTTACAAGAGCCATCTTGCGAAATGCTTTGGATAAAACTTAGGCCGTTCCGTCTCCCAAGGGGATGTAATTTTATTGTTGTTGGGACGCTTTATCATCCGCCAAGTGCCAGTGACCCAGCAATAATGGAATATTTAATCAAGTGCTTATCAACCATTNATGATAAATAATCTTTCTGTAGCAGACACAACTATTTGGAAATACGTTGATGACACCACTCTTGCCGAATCAGTATTGAAGAATGAGTCTAGCTACATGCAATTACGTGTAAATGAACTTGTAAGACAGTCAGAAGTTGATGGTTTCCAATTCAATGAGTCTAAATGTAAAGAACTGAGAATATCATTCTCCAGATCAGGTAGTCTGTTTGATCATATTACTATCAATGACAAGCAAATCGAAGTTGTTTCATCTGCAAGGTTGTTAGGAGTGATAGTCTCGGACAACCTCAGGTGGAACGCACATGTAGAATCTATATGCAAAAAGGCTGCGAAGCGTCTGTACTTCCTAAAACAGCTAAAGCGCGCTAAAGTTCCATCTGAGGATATGCTACTTTTCTATACGACATGTATACGCCCTGTATTAGAATATGCGTGCCCAGTTTTTCATCATTCTTTGCCACAATATCTGTCCAATGAATTGGAAAGGTTGCAAAAACGCGTGTTGCGGATGATTCAACCTGACTTATCTTACGCTGAGGCTCTAGTAGCTCTTGACGTTGCCTCACTGTACGAGAGGAGGGAGATCTTGTGTGATGCTCAATTTGATCAGATTGTAAGGGACGAAAACCACAAGCTCCATGATCTACTGCCTCCACGCAACGAGTCCACCTATCGCACCCGCAGCCAGAGATACTTCTAGCTACCGATTTGTAAGACAAATAGGTTCAAAAACACATTTATCATGGCGAACAGTTTTAATTATTAATAGCTATCTTAATTATTTGTATTTTAGTTTTTGAAACTTCTCTTATTGTCTTTTATTGTAGATTACACTTTGTAGCTTTTATTGTAGTTATCTTAGAGTAAGAGATAATTTATTTGCATTGTAAAGTAAGTCGTATTTCAGCCGGCCCGGGGGCTGCAATGATTTTACTCCCTAATAAAGCTATCTATCTATCTATCATAGAAGAGAGTATTTTTACTTGCCATGGGTTATAGCCAGTGCCAGTATCCCCCCTGTGCTCGTCCCTGCTATCCAATCAAACAATTGCACAATTGGCTGCTTTGTGAATTCCTCCAGAGCCAGTAGAAGCTGTATAAGTATAAGCCCTCTGATTCCTCCTCCATCCATGGCAAGGATAGCTTCTTTTTTGTGGTGGGATTTGAAGATTGATTCTTTATCAGGTCTCTTTCTCGGTGCATCAACTGAGTCTTGGTAAGATCTTGATTGTGGTAGTCCAGAAGCCGCTGCTGCTGCAGCAAGTCTAATGATGTCAAAGTAGCCTGGTAATCTTTCTGCTGCTTTCACTGGAGTTCCACCTTTAAAAAAATGGTGAATGTGTAGATTATACCGGGTCAATTGCAGTCTTACTTGACAGGAAATGGAAAGGGGATTTTATTCATTCCACTAACCAATTGTCATTTCTCCTTGGAATGGTTTGTTGCACTCCAAAGTACATCCATTCTTGCTCTTATCACAAGCTGCTGCACCCACGAACCCAAGAGCATGTACAACTTCCTTCCAGCCGTGCTGATGAGCAACAGTGGCCACATGTCTTGGTGTTTCATATCTCTTGTTTGTGATGTTAACATTGGCACCAAACACAATCAAGGCACGCACTATATCCACATCTTGAACCTACATTAATGAGATGCATTAACAATGTGCCCATTTAATGTAAAAATGTGAGGTAACTATTTTGCAAAAGCAATGAGGGATTCTGTATCTGTGTTTTCATAGCTTCAGGTTCACATTGAGGGAGTTAAGGGAATTCAGGGAGAATTCTAAAGAGTTATGTAAACCTGAGACAAGGTTGAGGTTGAGTTCTACCCAACTCCTGTTGACAGAAAACTCTTGTTTGACACTGACCATTGCTGCTTGATGTAGTGGAGTTGAACCATCTTTGCTTTGTGCATTAACTTGAGCTCCACGGCTCAATAGCACTATGATACAACCCAGTCTTTTGCAGCGAGCCATAATATGAAGTGGTGTTTCACCATCATGGTTAATTGCTTCCACATCTGCTCCACTGTCAAGGAGAAGCTCAACTGCCTTGTAAGAAAAAAAATTATTCACATTTCCTGAATTACAATTCATAATGATAACCATAACTTGTGAGCTACTATTACAGTTATTTCTCTTTAATTTTTCATTCCTTATTTATCAAATTACTCCTTGTACAGGCTTTCAAATCATTTTTAATGCTTCCCAACTTTTTTGTATTATTTCATTTTAAATTAACCATTGACTCTGGAACTTCTCTTCCTTAAAATCATAATCTCCAATAGCAACAACAATTTATATATATGTGGGATGAGTCATTGCCACTAGCATTGCGCATAGCTCACTAGGCTTTTCTAGTTTGAGCACTCTGGCATGGCTTAGACGATACCACAAATGTGGGATTGTTTGGGGTAACCATATCAGTTCTTCCCCATCCTAGCATCAGCACTGCACTGATGAGGCCCAGAAGGCCGAAACAGTACTTTTTGCTGTTAGATATAGCTCTTTGGCATATAAAGCTCTGCTTTCATGTCCAAATTGAGCACTGTGGGATGAGTCATTGCTGCTAGCATTGTGCATAGCTCACCAGGCTTTTCTAGTTTGAGCACTCACAAATGTGGGATCATTTGGGGTGACCATATCGGTTCTTCCCCATCCTAGCATCAGCACTGCACTGATGAGGCCCAGAAGGCCGAAACAGTACTGTCTGCAGTTA